AACACAACCCAATCCTTGATACGAGGCATCACAATACACCACGAACTCTTCATGGTTTGAAGGTAAAGCCAGTACTGCTGCTGTGGTCAATTTCTTCTTCAGTTCATCAAAACTCTTTTGACATGATTCATCCCAAATATACTTGGTATTCTTCCTCAACTGTTTAGTCAATGGTGCAACAATTTTGGAAAATCCTTCGACAAACCGCCGATAATAACCAGCCATGCCAAGAAAACTTCTCAACTCCGACACATCTTTTGGTGGAGCCCAACTCACCACTGCTTCCACCTTTTTCGGATCCACCTCGACACCTCTTCCAGAAATTACATGTCCCAGAAATATTACCTCCTTCAGCCAAAACTCACATTTTGAGAATTTTGCATATAATTGTTTCTCCCTTAGAATTTGCAACACAATTCTAAGGTGAGTTTTGTGCTCCTCCTCGCTTTTAGAATAGATGAGAATATCATCTATGAACACAATCACAAACTTATCAAGATATTCATGGAAAATTCTGTTCATAAGAGCCATAAATACCGCTAGTGCATTAGTGAGTCCAAAAGGCATTACCAGGGACTCATAATGCCCATATCTTGTTCTAAAAGCTGTCTTTGAGGTCGCTCCATCAGCCACTTTCAATTGATGGTATCCAGACCTTAAATCAATCTTAGAAAAGACTGATGCACCCTGCAATTGATCAAACAAATCATCTATTCTTGGAAGGGGATAACGATTCTTCACTGTTGCTTTATTCAACCTCCGGTAGTCAATGCACATTCTCATGGAGCCATCTTTCTTCTTGACAAACAAAACCGGTGCACCCCAAGGTGAGATGCTAGGTCGAATAAACCCCTTGTCTAGCATTGCAATTGTTCTTTAAGCTCCTTTAGCTCAAATGGTGCCATTCTATATGGTGCCATTGAAATTGGTGTTGTGCCAGGTACCAATTCAATATCAAACTCTACTTCCCTTTCTAGTGGAAGGCCGGGAAGTTCTTCCGGGAATACATCAGGAAACTCCCTTACCACCTCTACATCCTCAACCTTCTTATCATTTACAACAGTAACTTGAGCAAGAAAGGCTTCACGACCTTCCTTCACTAATAGAAAAGCTTCCAAGGCAGAAAGAAAACCATGAGTCTCCTTTTTCTTAATGCCTCGAAATACAACAGGACCTTTATCTGGTGTGTTGAATAACACTTCTTTCTTTTGACAATCCACAACAGCTCCATGTGTTGCCAGAAAGTCCATTCCAAGGATGACATCAAATTCATCAAAAGGTAACATAATTAAATCTGCTGCTAGGAAAGCTCCTTCCACACAAATGAAGGAACTTCTAATAACTGAGTCTACCTTCAAGGTATCTCCCACAGGTGTTTTAACACATAAGGTATAACCTAGCTTATCTGGAACTAAGTGTAGCATATGTGCAAACGTATATGACATGAATGAGCGAGAGGAACCAGTATCGATCAAAGCATATAATTGCTTGCCAAGGATAGAAAGCATACCAGTCACAACTTCTGGTGCCACTTCTGCCTCACCTCGAGTCATTGCATAAACCCTCGGTGCTCCTTGTTCCCTGGTACCCTGCGTACCACTTCCTGATGGCTGATTTCGATCACCACCTCTACCACCCTGTGAACCACCACGACCACTCTGAAATCCAATACGGCCTCCCTGGTAACCACCTCTGGCTGGGGCTCTACTAAAGTGCACTGGAGGTTCGGACTGAGTAGGTCTTCCTCCTCCCCTATAAGGACAGTTGCTCATGATGTGACCCGGCTGGCCGCATTGAAAGCATACTCCAGAAACCTCCAACACTCTCCAAAGTGTCTCTTCTGACAAACTTGACAAACTGGAGCCGGTGTGGCTGAGGAAACTGGTGCCTTGTATGATGTTCCTGACATAAATTGACTTGGTGTTCTCTCAAAACCGCTGGGACCTCTCTTGGATGGGTAACGAGGTCCAGAATAACTCACTCCAAACTTCCTCTTCTTCTCCTCTTCTTTGGCCTTGTGTTCCTCTCTACCCTCAACTTCATAGGCTTCATACTTAAGTGTTGCCTCCTTGATAGTGGCCATACTCTCTTCATCAACCCTGTGGATCTTTTCTTTCAATCCTAGGCGCAGACCATGCAAGTATCTCATCTTCTTCTTATGCTCAGTATCCGCCAACCCATCTTCAAAGTAAAGTAGTCGAACAAACTTGATGGTGTACTCAGTAACTGTCATATTCTCCTGCTTAAGGTTGGTGAATTCATTGTTCTTTGCCTTGATAAAAGCTTCGGGAAGAAACTCTGTCTTAAAGGCCTTCAGAAACTCCTCCCAGGTGAACTGAACTCGTTCACCATTAACTCTAGAGACTGAGGACCACCAGCTCCTCGCATACCCCTTTAGGAGAAAAACAACATATTGCACTTTTTCCTCTGGGGTTGCATAAAGATACTCAAACACATATTCCATCTCTCTCAACCACTCTACTACAGCATCTGGGCTCACATCTCCCTTGAAGTCCCTACCACCCGAACTCTTCATCTTTGCATAGTCTAATATTGGCGGTCTTGCATCAACCGCCCCCACTCCTCTCGACTGGTCAGTAGGAACATTATCACAGCTTCCGTGTGAGCTACAAGGAAATATTGGCCTTAGATTGATCCACACAAAATTCATTCTTCACCAAATATCTCACTTGGTTAAAACAAAATTTTCCCAAAATAATTACTTGAAAACAAATAAGTCCAAAACTCAATTTTGAAAACCATGATGCAAGTAATTTCATCCAACATACCAATACACATAATCATGTAAAACTCAATTCCCGGTTTAAGTCATTATGGGGTACTCCACTCCTTAGGAGTGTTTAACCTCCCATAGGGTATAGTACGCCATAACAGCAAAAAGAGGGAACCGGGCTCTGATACCAAACTGTAACACCCTACCCTTTACGTTTTGCCTAATCATAATGTTCATACAATTGCAGCGCAATTAACCTCGGGTGTTACATTAATTATCAAAATTTACCCAAATAAAATTTCGACATGAATTACTCGCGTAATGGGCTAACAGTTCTTGCAACTTATCCTGCAAAATAATTCATCACAAACATATATACTCACAATCATATGCATTGGCTTTTCTTAGCCATAGTCACGCTTTTCATACTCCACAACTGCATACCATACTTATACATACCATAATCGTCACAACTTTCACAGTTACACAACATATACACATATCATCAACTTTCCACATCTGTGGATATCTCACACTACATCAGAAGCTAGTATGCACATGAAAACGTTCTCAAAACATTTTTACAAAATGGTCTGGATCACTGGCCAAAATCCCGAGTAGTCGTCCAAGCACAGAATAGTTGAAGACCATACCTCATCATGGCTTCAACTCTAGCTCCTCTCCCACCTAACACTTATCTACTGTTGCTGCTGATGATCTGCTTACACATAGCATAACCAGAGAAGAAGAATAAAAGGGGGTCAGCTCATAGCTAAGTGAGATAATCATAGCATCGTGAGTTCATAACAGAGCATACCCCTATCACACATCTAACAATCAAGCCAAAACACTAGGATCGGACCTCAGCCATCCTCATATCCCAATAGGCAAAAGACTCAACCACCTTGACTTATGCATATGCATCTCTTCATGTTTTAATCATAGTCGCCTGGCTACTCCCATGTTAATTACTCTCCCGGGAATACGGACCAAACATCTCGTGGATGTGGTCATATCGGACCTGACACAACGCTGGGTGTGGTCATATTGGACTCAACACCACTCTGGATGTGGTCATATCTCATGATGAATCAACGGTCAACACCACATCAGGGGTGTGACATAACATATCATAACGGAGTAATAACATGGGGAGCCCTAATTACTATGTAATTGACCATGAGACCAAAGTACTCTTACTTGGTATCTTTATACATGATCCATATCTCATCTTGCTTAATCATAATTCATTACTTAGACATGTTCTTGGTCTGGCCACAATTGGCTCAACATAATCAGGAGTTGTATAATTGCACTTCCTCGGGATAAACCCTCGTGCAAGTCGTCCTCCTTAAACATCAAAATATCACCCTGTGAAGTTTATTTCCTCCACTTGTGAATCCAAATACAACCACAATATCACATCATGTCAAAACACCTGATCGAACAAATGGCAACATGTATGCAATCATCAACATAAACAAGGTCCATATCGATTAGGGCAAGTCAATAATATCATACAGCAGTTTAGGGTTCAACATATAGCACAAAAGTTCATACATCCCTAATCATGCCATTCTAGTTCACCTAGGTCAATTCTAAGCATTAATATAATTATCGTGATACGATAAACCCGGTATGCCGTGCTAATCCCTCACCAGTTCTAGTCGTTCAAACACCGGTTTTTGCCTCCCGTACTAAAACGTCAATTTCACGAACGAACCCCGAATTAAAATCCGAGACCGTCCTAATATCCCCTGCAGTATCCCCGTCAATATTAGTTCTAGGCCCCCCGTCAAATTCTTGATAAAAACACATCAAACCCTGGCCGGAGCTAAATTCAGCGATTCAGGCTCCGACCTAAATAATAGCCAAAATTCATGGATTAAAACTAGAGGATTGATTATCTCGCTGTAGGAAGCTCGTATATGAAATTCGGGCTCAATCCGACTTCCGGATACTCTGAAACCCTAATTTGACTTATCAGCAATTCAAGAAATTCCTAAACCAAAAACTCGTTTTAAAGCTCTAAATCGATAAATCACGATGTATAGTTGAATTAGGCTTTACTTACGGGATTTTTGGATCACTAGGGCTCAAGAATTTGAGCTTTGGAATTTTTACCGAGCTCCTTGTTCCTGCTCTGCTCGCTCTGGTTTGGAGAAAATGGAAAGATGATGATGGGAATAAATGGACGAGGCAATTTATATGTCCGTCCCGACCGACTCATGTATATATATACTTATCTGATCGATCGATAATCCGATTTTCACTGAAATACTATCAAAACGCTCGATTTTAAATCGCGAACTTTCTAGCGATCGAAAATATGGGATTTATCGGAACGGGACGTTACAGGGTCACCTACCAAGATTGGCACGATTCTTCATGGTACCCACCACGACTGGTGCGGCTTGCCTGTCATAATCGACACAGCTTTCCATGATCGCTCGCCACGATGGTGCGTTCCTTCTACCATGATTAACTTGGCTCTCCAATAATTGCTTGCCCAATTTGTGTACGTATGCATAACATGATTTACATCACTCACCTAATGATGTGTTACCAATAAAAAACTTTGGTTCAACCTTAATTTTTCTATTGGTAAGGAGGCAATTGATGAACCCGGTATTCAACCAACATCATACTTCATGCCATTTTACCATAAAATATTTACGTATGAAAAAACATACTTATATCAACTCTATATTCCCTCTATACCATAAGGAAAAGCTAGGCAAGTAAAGCTTTCTTTCTCCCAACTAATTGAGCTCTCCTAATTGAATGGTGTCATTGTTCCCACAAAGCACACCACAATTCTATCTTCACATAATTCTCACCACGTGGCTACAAGTGGCAAAGTTACCACTTTCCTTCATGACTAGGTAAACATGATATGATAATTACCACCAACCAATCTATTGACACGTCATCACTTCCTCTTTCCATGAGTGAAAGCTATTAATTGGTAAATGGTTTATAACAAAACCCTATTAAGCTACACGTGGACATGAGCTGTACTTGGGACCAAAAAATCTCACTTCTCTTTTTACCACTTTACTTACACTTGGAAGAGAAGGATAAACTTTCCCAAGCAATTAACCATTGTGAATTGGATAGTTTATAGTCCTCATCTTTTTAAATGCACTCAAGCCACCAAAACAACTTCACCATATCAATACACGTGAAGTGGCAAAATCAGATTCGTTTATATTTGCCACAAATATCAGATTTCCCCTTTGGTTACATGTGAGTGAGAATGCCATCTCGCTTTGTGTTGCACGACCAACCAATTTCGAGTGCTTAATTGCCCAAATCACAACCTCATTTCCCCTTTGTGTTGCACGAACCTCAATCACATTGAAGCAGGCTCTTCGGAGCTTTGCATCAACACCTAATTAATTATTATAACTCTAATAATCTACCAGACGGCTAAACATCGCCCCAGTTTTACTAATATCGCCCTAACTTAAATTATGATTTTACTAAATTATCCTTGATAATAAACTCAAATTAAATAAAACCCACAGCCTACAGATTTCTAATTAATCCTCCTTCAAACCTTCTCCTCTCCAAACATATTTCACCGGCGGCCTTCTCCAGCACCCCCCGGCCACGATTCCCCAAAATTCCCAACGAATAAGTCGACACAATAATGATGGAGTCAATTAATCCTAGGAACCAAAACTCAATTGGATCAGAAATTTCCATCGTCGTTCATGTACTATGGCGCCTATTGCCCCTGTCACACTCCGCCACGAGTGAGTTCCGATCGAGCCGTTCGTCGACTCGGTTCCGGCTATGTTGGAAACAGAGCATACTCTTCCGGCTTCAGTGTCATTGTTCTGACGGGAACCGAAGGCGGTAATGGCGGAGGAGGAGGAGGGTGTGACTACGATCACGAGGCGGATGGAGTTTCATGGATGCTTCCCGACGGTATAGTCGCCGCGGAGGGGGGTTGATTCCTAACTGAATAAGAAACTTGGCGAACAGAGGAAATGCACCGGGGATCAATTTTTTTGCGAAATGGATGAGATTTAGGAATTTGAGTATGAAATCCTCTGGAAAACACAAAGACGATGCCTGCCATTGCAATCAATGCCTCCCCACTGTTTGTACTGATTCACCCCGGCCTCGAAATCAAATCTCAGTCTCTTCGTTACCTTCTCCCCATCGCCGAAATCAAGTACCTGCCGTCGTCTGTCCAAGGTGCGAATTAACAACAGTGTCTTCAATCTACATGAAAAGTCTGAAATCGCCGACGGTGGTAATCAACGACGGTCAGTAGCTGGCAGTGGGAATCTGTGGCCGTCTGGCAGACAGGCGACGGCGGACAATGGCGACTAGGTGATGACGCCCTTGATTTTGTTAGAATAAATACATGCCAAAAATTAATATGGGAGAAGGATAAAAATGTAAGTTTAATGTATAAATTAGGGCGATTAAGTGATAGTAGGGCGACATTTAGCAACCTCCATAATCTAGTCGTCAACCCCTTCCTCCATCTCCCTCTCCGGCAACTCACCGCGAGCCTGGCCCCAGCTTCCTTACTCTCTCTCCGACGACTCCCCGCCAGCCCGCCCACCATATTCACCAGTCCCCTCCCCATTGCAACCCACCACCTCCCCTCCCCGCCACATCTCTCTCACTCCCTCCGCAACCCACCACAACCCGCCAGCCTGCTTGCACCGACCAACCTTCCGCCCGCCAGCTTGCGCCGACCATCCCTCCCCCTCCCTCTCTCTCCGACCCTTCTGATCCCGCTTTATCTATCTTCCCTTCCGTTCTTCTTCCACAGGTCTCTATTTTGATTTGTTATTGGGCCGCTACTGTGGCAGTAGGGAGGAGGTTGATGTTCAATTTCTTTCCAATCGGTTTGTGGCGTACAGAGATGCGAGGGGTGGGGGTTTGATATGTATTTTTTTGGGATTAGTATATATTTTTCGTTTAGTATTGTTTTGCTACTTTTTTATTGGTATTGATTATCATAGCAATGGTATTGTTTTTGTTGCATTGGTATTGTTTTTTGTCGCAATGGTATTGGTGTTTTGTGAAATGGTAGTGTTTTTATTTCTCGAATGGTATTGGTGTTTTTGCAATGATAGTGTTTTACGAAGTGGCAGTAGTTGTCTAATGAATTGGTATTGATTTCTTGTTTTTTTTTTGTTATAATGGTATTTGTGTTTTTCGAAGTGTTAGTGATTGTCTAATGGATTGATAGTGATTTCTTATTTTTTCCCCAGAAAGATTAAGAAAAATAAGAAAAGAAAATCTGGCTGGAGATTACGGAAGTGAGAGAAATAAAGAAAATTATAATTAAATTAATAGAATTTTGTAATTGCCCAAAATATATTTTATTAAAAAATTAATTAATACAATTTTTTTTCATACCAATTTACGAGTGTTGTGAAAGCCGAGCCGGCTGGCCGGACCACCAAAACCGTCACGCGGCCAAAAAACTGGCTCAACTCAGCTATTTAGCCGGACTGGTTCTTTGGGATGGTCGGCGAGCGGCCGGAGCGGTTAACCGCTCGAGCCATTCGCCCGGCTTTTCCCATTGGGCCGGTTGGCTTAATTAAAAAAAAAAACTAAAAAATGAAAGAGGGGAGGATCGGGCTCGGGCTGTCTGAAACTAACCCTAATTCCAAAGTTCAATTGTGCAGACTGAAAGAAGCCGCCGCTTCCTTCGCCTGTTCGCCAGTCCAAATCTCCCCCGTGTCGTCGTTCCCCATCGCCGGAAGCCAGTCCCCCGTCGCCATCGTCGTCGTTCCCCGTAGGTCGCTCGTCGATTTGGGGAAGCTAGCCCTTCGTCCCCCGTCGCCATCGCGAGTCGCCAGCGACGAAACTGCTGCTCCTCTCCTGCACCCACCACTGCTGCCCTCCTCTGCACCGATCTCTGCCGCACTCCCCTGCACCGTCCCCTTCTCCCACTAGGTAAGTGCTGCTGCCGTGAGTTATTTAGTGATTTAGATTGAGTTATTTAGAAGTAGAAAATGTTAGAGGTTTTGAGTCAAAGTGATGGATGGTCTAATGGCGGTGGTGGAGGGGCAAATGTATGTGATGGGGCGTTCATTCATTCATTATCATTAAGAACTTTCAGGATGGTAGTGTTAGATTTATAATTGTATATTTTTAAGACTTAAAGTGTAATTTACTAATTTAATTATGGTTTATCATTATTAAGAAAGGTCCAATATTTATATTTATACGAATTGTTTATTAGGTACCGGTTTTGTAACGGTTTTTAAACGGTCTAATGTCGATTGGACCGCCAAAGACCGAGTCATTCACATTATCGGGTCATACTCAATTCCCTTATGAAAACATTGCAATTTACCCTTCCTAACCCTAGTGATTACTGCCATAACCCCCCATTCGACTTCGTCGTCCTCTTTTCTCCAACAGAGCAGCAGGTGCTCTGCATTCTGCCCCCCCCCCCCCCCCCCCCCCCCCCCCCCCCCGTTCGATCCAGCAGCCTCCCTCTTCCCCGACCCACCGGCGACTGCTATCTCCCGACTTCCACCAGCGACTGCAAGCTCCCCTGCCTCCATTGACGGTGAGCTCCCCAGCTCCGTCGCCTCCACCACCGACCGTGAGCTCCCCTGCCTCCAATCCTCCACCAGTGACCGCGAGGCGCAAGCTCCGCTGCCTCCACCATCGATACGAGCAAGCCCCCTATATCTCATATCTCTCTAGTTTATTTCCCGAAAAAAAAAATGCAGGAGAAACCGATGGACCTGAGTCCATCCATCAGACTATCAGATAAACCGTCCAAGAGTGTTGGACCCGCTGCTGCGTTGGCGCCCCCTAAACCACGCCACCGGCAGAGCTAAATATTCCCCCCAAAAGCTTTCCCCTTTAAATACAAGACGCATCCAATTCTCATTCCTCTCAAAAACTTTTCCACCGAATCCACAGTCCCCAATCGGCGGTTCTTGCGTCCTTCGCTTCGCTTCGCTTGGAACCTCTTCCTAATTCCGGCGGAGATGAGGCTGCTGAAGTTAGCCACCTGCAATTTGAATCAATGGGCGATGGACTTCAACTGCAATTTGAAGCACATAAAGGAGTCGATTACCGAAGCTAAACAAGCCGGCGCCGTCATTCGCCTAGGCCCCGAGCTCGAGGTCACCGGCTACGGCTGCGAAGATCACTTTCTCGAGCTCGATACTGTCACCCACTCGTGAGTCAAGCTTGCCCCCTTTACCGTTTCAATTTCATTCTGGGTTGTTCCAATTTAGTGAAAAGTTTCGGTCTTTTCTGAAGATGGGAATGCTTGAAGGAGATTCTGGTCGGAGATTGGACCGACGGAATATTGTGCAGTATAGGCATGCCCGTGCTCAAAGGCTCCGAGCGGTATAACTGTCAAATTCTGTGCATGAACCGAAAGATTCTGATGATCCGCCCGAAAATGTGGCTGGCAAACGACGGCAATTACAGGGAGCTCCGGTGGTTCACTGCCTGGAAGCAAAGGGATCAACTGCATGACTTTGTGCTCCCGCCAGACATTTCAGAGGCCATCTCCCAGAAATCGGTGCCATTTGGATATGGGTTCATTCAATTTCAAGACACGTAAGAATTTCCTTCTCTCCCTTTGCATAGTGATTGAAGAATTAGTTACGGTACCTAGTAAGATTGCCATATCATTAGTTTTACCTTGTTGTTAGAGCTGTTGCTGCTGAAGTTTGTGAGGAGCTTTTTACACCGGTTAGACCTCATGATGAGCTCGCACTCAATGGTGTTGAGGTGTTTATGAATGCAAGTGGAAGTCACCACCAACTGAGAAAGCTTGATATCCGTCTTGAGGCTTTTATGGGTGCTACTACTCGTGGAGGAGTATATATGTATAGTAATCACCAAGGATGTGATGGTGGCCGCCTTTATTATGGTACCTTTAACATTCTCTTAGTTGCTCTCATCCCTAAGTCCGATTGACCAAGTTTACTGGTCGAAAAGTTATTAACTAGTGAACTATTTGCCACAGATGGATGCTCTGCCATTGTTGTAAATGGAGAAATTATCGCCCAAGGCTCACAGTTTTCCTTGAAAGATGTTGAGCTTGTGGTTGCTCAAGTGGATCTTGATGCTGTAAGAGAACTTCCGGCCCTACTCAAATATTATAGTCCTTCTTTCTGAAAATTTCTGCTTAGTATGTTACTGTATGAGTCTAAACTCTCTCACGAAGGTTTTCTTTAGCATCCAGAACCTGCCATGTTTCACCAGATTTCTTTGTTGATTGCTTGGCTACTATAAAATGGTTTTGTTTCTTGATCGCAGGTGGCTAGCCTAAGAGGATCCACAAGTAGTTTCCAAGAGCAAGCCAGCTGTAAAACTAGTGTGCCTTCTGTAGCAGCACCTTACAGTCTATGTCAGCCATTTAACCTGAAAGCGACTCTTTCTAGCCCCATGAAGGTATCCGCTAGTTCAAAGCATAGCTACAGTCAACAATACTTCACTTTTACGGGATTTTAGATCTGGCTTGTGCTTTGACTATTGCAGTGTTCATGAAATTTCACCTTTCCAGTCCAGTTTTGTTTGTTTACCAACTTTAATTGTGCTCTGTGCTTTTCAGATCAACTATCACTGTCCCGAGGAGGAAATCGCGTTTGGACCTGGTTGCTGGCTATGGGACTATTTGAGAAGAAGTGGAGCTTCTGGATATTTGCTTCCTCTGTCTGGCGGAGCAGATAGTTCGTCAGTAGCTGCAATAGTTGGATGCATGTGTCAACTTGTTGTAAAAGGTCAATTTGGTGCAGTCAATATAGCCTTTATGATCTTGGAACCCTGGATAGGTTTATGTAAGCTTTATGCCTGCTTTCTTATTTGTTTCAGAGATTGCAAATGGAGACGAGCAAGTCAAAGCTGATGCAATGCGCATTGGACACTACACTGATGGCCAGTTTCCCACAGACAGCAAAGAATTTGCAAAGCGCATCTTTTATACCGTGTATATGGGAACTGAAAATAGGTTGGTGGTGCCATGGTCATTCAGTTTTTGATTATTTCATGCTAATTGAACCTTATTTCCTTAATAAACGATTATATTCGCTTCATACGAAATTACCTGATTCATGTCGTCATTTGTCATGACTGAGTTGTTTTTTCTGCAGTTCTGATGCGACAAGAACCCGGGCAAAGGTTCTTGCAGATGAGATAGGTTCATGGCATCTAAACGTTTCAATAGATGGTGTTGTATCTGCATTCCTTTCCTTGTTCCAAACTCTTACCGGGAAACGACCATGCTATAAGGTAAAGTTGCAATACCTGAAACTTGGTCTGTAATCGGGACCCTGACAAGGCATTCACCTCAACAAGTTAGTTTCTGAAAAAAAAAATGTATTCTTCCTTGGTATGTTCTTTGTTTAATATCTTGTTCCCTTAACGGTTGACTGAGCTGTGTGCTTGACTCAAATGAGCATTGTGTCATTTATTCTGTAATTTTGAAGCTTGGTTTCATTTCACAGGTGGATGGGGGTTCTAACATTGAGAACCTAGGCCTCCAGAATATCCAAGCTAGAATAAGAATGGTTCTAGCATTCATGTTAGCCTCACTCCTACCATGGGTTCACAATAAACCGGGATTCTATCTTGTTTTGGGTAGCTCCAATGTAGATGAAGGGTTGCGAGGCTATTTAACCAAGGTATTGGGACAAAAAGAAGACTAAGCTGTTATATAAACTTGATATTTTTAGCAATTTGTCTATTGCTTCTACATTCCTAAACAATCTTCGAAATAGATTTAATGAAAATTGAGGTATCTGCCTTCTTTTACTATTTTCTTCATCGCTTACAGCGAGAACATATCGTTGTAAGAACTGTTTTAGTTGAATGGTACATTTTCAAATCAAATTTACTTCTGCCATTCCTGGTTTGTTTGAAGGGAATCATAACTTTTTGCTCTTACACTAACTATTACTTAAGTACATCTTCTGCAGTATGATTGCAGCTCAGCAGATATAAATCCAATTGGAAGCATAAGCAAGATGGATCTTAGGTCATTTCTAAAGTGGGCTGCCAAACATCTTGGTTATTCATCCTTGGCCGAAATCGAAGCAGCTCCACCAACAGCAGAACTTGAGCCTATACGCTCAAATTACAGCCAGGTATTCTCTCCTATTACTCTTCAGTTCTTTCCCTTGTTACAGTCACCTTCCTCCATGATTTTGCCCTAATGCGCGTGTACCTTCCCTGAGAATAGCTTGATGAAGTGGACATGGGAATGACATACGAGGAGCTCTCGGTATATGGCAGACTGCGAAAGATATACCGGCTTGGTCCAGTGTCGATGTTCAAGGCATGCTTTCTGTTTCATTTTCTCTATCAGGAAATTAAGCCATTTCGATACAATACTCTCACTACTGAAGTCTCTGTGGTGATGTTGCAGAATCTTTGCTTCAGATGGGGATCAACATTAACCCCATCAGAAGTGGCCGAAAAAGTGAAGCACTTCTTCAAGTACTATTCAATCAACCGTCACAAAATGACTGTCTTGACTCCATCATACCACGCTGAGGTACTTCATTATCTTTCATTTACTATCAAAACTATTTAGTCGCTTTGGAACTTACAGGAAATTCGGTTCTTGATTTGATCATGGAACTTGTTTGTAACAACTCTTTTGCAGAGTTACTCGCCGGAGGACAACAGGTTCGACCTCCGCCAGTTTCTGTACAACGTGAGGTGGCCTTATCAGTTCCGGAAGATCGACGAGCTCGTCGAGGAGGTGAACGGTGACAAAGTTGCCTTTGAAGAAGGGAGCCAGGAAGGGAAGTCGGTAGGGATGGGAGTTGTTGCTGCTGGCGCTGGAGATCCCAAGGCCGGGTTGTAATAGGGGAGGCAGCCAAGCCATTTGTCTTTCATTCATTCTTGTTGGCCTTTGTAAATTATCATAATCTCCCGCCGTTGGAAAGTTCTGCAACTGACGTAACCTGTAAGCGGGCGTGCTTTGGGATAACCCATTGTAATATTTTGCGTCACAATAAAGTAGCATAATGTTCTTTTTAGTCAAGTTCCTTGTTAGAGCGAAGGCGTTAGCCATTTAGCTGTTTGACGGTCATTAGCTTTCGCGCAGAAAATTCAGTTCACCTTTGTATATTGCTTGTATGATGACGATGAAGACGAGTCGTTCGACAGCCTTAAGATGACGACTCGAGTGCAGTTTGTGTTTTACTCTGCTGAACAGGTGCGGGACTTCCATGCCGACTTCTGGGGAAATGAGCAACGTTCGAGGAATGATGAAGCAGGATGCTGGTTGGAAAGTGGGAAAGGAACTTCTCCTCTCTAAACAGCAGACCATAGTTAAACCAAAATGGACATTAACCGTGAAATACTACCATACGATTAGCTTCAACTGAACTTAACAAAAAAAGGATTATGTTTGCCACTTTGAATGTACTGAAGGAACCAAAGAAGAAGAGAAGAAAAACAGGCCAGGAGATACCGGGGAAATGGAGGAAAATTCTCTCACCAAGCCTGTTTTTCTGGTAGCTTGTACTAGAAGCCTGTTTTTCTGCCCGTTGAAATAAAGTATTTTACTCTAATTATTATTAAATAATTAATATATTATATCTTTTTATATTTAATTTAATATAATTATTATTACTATATTCTTATTATTTATCTTATTTCCTTCATTTTCATTTACTTTCTCCTCATTTCCCCAATTTCCCCCTATATTCTTCTATTTTCTTTCACTTTCACTCTCTTTTCCCCCTTCTTTCCTTCTCCTTTCCCCCTCTTTTTTTCTTTCTTTTATTTTCACTCATATGCATAAATGTATGCATGCCCATGCAAATCTCTTTCCCCCTACATTTTTCCTCTATAACTCATTCACTTCTTTATTTTCCATTAGATACCAACACTTTCTCATACATACTTGAACTTTCCCATATACAATAATTGGTGAGGAATATTGGTGTATGATGGAGAATGTTAAGGTATATCGGAGAATGTTGGTAAATGTTAACGTAAGTCGGGGATTTCAACTACGACTTTTTTCTATAAATAGGGAGCACCCCTCCCCCTTTCTAACGAACAACATAAGTCTCCACACACACACACACACACACACACACACACACACACACCACATAAGTCGCTTACGACTACTTCACACAACACAACTCACACACAATATACACTCTCTCTAAAAACATTTTCTCTCTCCTCCCGATCTCCCAAAAACGTGTTAAATCTCTTAACACTCAACACATTCTCAATTTGGCGGACTAAGCCATGGAATCGTGGATAGTCTCCACCGGGCGGCATTAAATAGCCGACGACGCTCAATTACGACCGTGGGACCGAACCAAGTCTAACGTCATCGTATTGATTTTATTCCATTCAGGTTACTAATTTGAGCGTTGGAGGAGGTTCCAACCAAGACCCCCCGGTGGGACCTTTTTTCCAGGTATTCGCACGGAGCATGAGGTGGTTAAAGGCTTTGGAAAATTATCGCTCTCCGGACCTTAAACATATTGAAGCAGGCTACTCTAAGCTTGGCATCAACAATTGGCGCCCACCGTGGGGCCCGGTGAGAAGAATATTGACAAAGTCTGACAAAATCACCGCCACATTGTGATGAATATTCAGGATACTACCAGCAACTTACCATCAAAGCAGAGAGTCACCCTATTACAACAATCAATAGTAGGGGCAATCTAACCCCATCATCGATTAGGGGACACAATTCAAGAATTAGGCCAAGCCAAGGGCCAATGGGTCGAGGAGCTGCCACATGTGCTTTGGACGAACAACTTACAAAACTTCCACTGGGGAGATGTCATACTGACATTGGCACTGATGTTATGCTGCCAATTGAAATGGAGCTCTCCTCTTACAGAATCCAACCATTCCACCCCGATGAAAATCAAATCAAGCTCACTCATGATCTACATCTCATAGAGGAGCGTCGAGAATACGCACTTATGCTACTTGTCGCTTCCAAAGAGAGGATCGCGCGTTATTTGAACGTCAAAGTGAGAAATCGACCCATCTGGGAAGGAGAATGGGTTCTGAGGAGAAACTTCAAAAAAATTCAAAGTCATGGAAATTTTACTCCTTAGTAGGAAGGTCCTTACAAGATGCACAAAGTGGTGGGACCAAATACAGTCAAACTATCTCTCCATGATGACCAGGATATGTCACGTAAAACTCCAAAATTTACGCCTCATTTGGTAATCATTTCTACACTCTCTTCATTACTGGGTAAATTATGCACTAGGTTGTGCCAAAATAATTTCACATGTGCAAAAATATTCATGCCACAATTTTTTTTAGACTAGTATATGCCAAAAAAGACATATATCCCGTCAGTCCTATGCTCGTGATCTACATTAAAGCGAGGATATGAACAACCAAAGCGATTGCTTTAAAACGTGTTCTATTATCTTCTTGCCGATAGAAAAGTCACGATCATTTTTCATGAACTCCTGCCAAAATCACAGTCATTTCTCGTGATTTTCTACCGGCAAGGGGGGAATTGATGGACCCGGTATTCACCTGCTTCACCTGCCCATTGAAATAAAGTATTTTACTCCAATTATTATTAAATAATTAATATATTATATCTTATTATATTTCATCTAATATGATTATTATTACTATATTATTATTATTTATCTTATTTCATTCATTTTCATTTACTTTCTCCTCTTTTCCCCTATATTCTTCTATTTTCTTTCAATTTCACTTTCACTCTCTTTTCCCCCTTCTTTCCTTCTCTTCCCACGTGAGAGTGGCAGAAGCCACCTTCCCTTCTCCTTTCCCCCTCTTTCTTTCTTTCTTTCTTTCTTTCATTTTCACTCATATGCATAAATGTATGCATGCCCATGCAAATCTCTTTCCCCCTACATTTTTCCTTTATAACTCATTCACTCCTTTATTTTCCATTACATACCAACACTTTCTCATACATACTCATACATACTTGAACTTTCCCATATACAATAACTGGTGAGGAATATTGGTGTATGATGGAGAATGTTAAGGTATAGCAAAGAATGTTGGTAAATGTTAACGTAAGTCGAGGATTTCAACTACGACTTTTTTCTATAAATAGGGAGCACCCCTCCCCCTTTCTAACGAACAACATAAGTCCCTCCAAACAACAAGTCACACACACACACACACACCACATAAGTCGCTTACGACTACTTCATACAACACATCTCACACACAATATACACTCTCTCTACTTTCTCTCTCTAAAAACGTTTTCTCTCTCCTCCCAATCTCCCAAAAACGTGTTAAATCACTTAACACTCAACACACTCTCAATTTGGCGGACTAAGCCATGGAATCGTGGATAGTCTCCACCGGGAGGCATTAAATAGCCGACGATGCTCAATTACGACCGTGTGACCGAACCATGGGCTAACGTCATCGTATTTATTTTATTCCATTCAGGTTACTAATTTGAGCGTTGGAGGAGGTTCCAACCAGGATCCCCCCCCCCCCCCCCCCCCCCCCCGCGGTGGGACCTTTTTTCCAGGTATTCGCACGGAGCTGGAGGTGGTTAAAGGCTTTGGGAAATTATCGCTCTCCGGACCTTAAACATATTGAAGCAGGCTTCTCTAAGCTTGGCATCAACATAACCCCAAGTAAGTTTTAATTTTATTTGCTGAGTGAATAAGATTGTTGTTCAACTAAATTTCAATGGGTTAATGCCACATTTGGTCACTGTGATTACTAAATTGTGTCATGTTTAGTCACTAGAAAAATTAACTTCAAATTTGGTCACTGTAATTACTGAAACAGGTCACATTTAGTCACTCTCCGTTAGTCTCCATCCAACTCCGTCAATGGAGTCCGTTATGTGCTGACGTGGCTAACGGGAACGCCTAGTCAGCATTATTTAGGACAAAAAATGGTCAAACCTGACCCGCCACGTCACTAAACCAGCCATGTCATACACCAAACCCAACCCATTAACCCAACTCGACCTAGAACCAAACCCTAGCTCACTTAATAAAATAAAATTGGAAACTCGATCGGTCAGTCGCCATTTCAGACCAAAACCCTTTCTCGAGAAAGTTCCAAAAACCAGTTTTCCCGGAGAACAAACAGATCTCGAATAGCACCAACAGCAATAGAGCTTTTTTCTTCCCTTCTTATTTCCGGTAATGCAAACACGCACACAGATACATCTCAAATAACCACCACATCACAATTCCTTCCCCATTAAATTAATATGCTATCGCATCATCCGAACACGAAAAGCCAGAGAAATCCAGGGAGATCGATCGAGATTCGAGCATGCTAGCTCACGTCACCTTCTTGAACGACGTGAGCCTCTTCACGGCGTCGGGCTGCACCTAGATGATCGCCTCGTACTTGGACAACCCGTTGACGTCTAAGGTGCCGGAGACCGTCAGCTCCAGCTTTTAGTTCTTCCCGCGGGCGACCTGGTACGAGCCGGACTCCACCCTCGCCAGCTTCAGCTTCTCCCCCTCCTCGTTGTGCTGCTTGACGGTGAGGATGTGAGTGGCTTCGCGATCTAGGGATTCCGGGTTTCGACGAATTTGGGGATTTTTTTTGGTTGGGGAATTGATTCGAGAAAAGAGCGGAGCTTGGCAAGGAAGGAGAAAGGGTTTTGATATGAAATGGATACTAACCCGATCGATTTTCCAATTTTGTTTTGTTAAGTGGGCTAGGGTTTGGTTTTGGGTCGAGTTGGGTTAATGGGTTGGGTTGGGTGTATGACATGGCGGGTTTAGTGATGTGGCGGGTCGGGTTTGACCATTTTCGATCCAAAATGGTGTTGACTAGGAGTTCCCGTTAGCCACATCAGCACACAACGAACTCTATTAACGGAGTTGGACGAAGACTAACGGAGAGTGACTAAATGTGACCTGTTTCAGTAATTACAATGACCAAATTTGATATTAATTTTTTCTAGTGACTAAACATGATAAATTTTTTAATCACAGTGACCAAATATGGCATTAACTCAAATTTCAATTATGTTGGTCAACAAACATTTTTTGATGTCATAGATCGAGTATGGACGAGGATTGAGAATTGCTTATTTCTTATTAATTTTGTTATTGCATTGTTTAGAATACTTTTAGGTTTAGATAATATATATATATATATATATATATATATATATATATATATATTTTGTGTTTCTCAAGCTAGAAAAATAAATATTGGCCAAAGTTTATGGTTATATCTTATATGTTTTCCGTTTATGCTACAAATTTCAAACAAACTTTTTGTTATATATCAATTTTCTTTTCAACAACAGAACAAGTGAATGAGTGCATCGATAGCTAATGAATGGTTATTCACAGTATTATAATCATTAAGAATACAATGTTCAGTAATTTATAAAAGGTTATCATAATTTCAAAAATTAAAAAATAATTTTGATGTCATTTTAACATAATATGAAATAAAATATTTTAAATAATTTAAAAATTTTAAAATATATATCATAAACACATTGTACTCAAATGACATCCCGACTAATCAATAGTCCGCCAACCTAAAACATAAGAAATGTTGGTACCGCTAGGGATGGCAAAATTTGCCGAAACCGTGGATATCCGCCTGAATCTGACCTAATCGAGTAGGGTAAAACCCAAACATGAAGGATCTTCAGTGGGTACGGGTAAAACTCGAACCCGAATATTGTGGATAATGGGTGGACATGGTTTTTGCACTATCCAATCCGAACCCGACCGATTATACAAGTGTATATTTATTTTGTCTAGAAATGATTATTATTTTTCTCAACGTATTTGATATTTAGCTATAAATATAATATTTTTATGAAATCATGTTGTTTCTAATTAATTTTCTTCATTCTAGTGATTTATTGTCTTACTTTTTCATTTATGTAATGTGAGTAAATGTGAATGTTAACATGTTGGTTGAAGTTATATAAAAAAAAATTATCCATGAATAACCGTGAATACCCGAAATCCGAATGGGTATGGGAGTGATTTTGATTTTCTATCCGATTCTTATTCGGTACCGCTGCCGAGGTACCGCTCCACTCCCATTTTAGACGAGACAACTGGAAAGAAATACACAAGTTGGAGCAGAGTAGAGCAGGAGAAGGCGCTAGAAATTTGGAGAGTTAATAAGACCATCTCCGTGAAGAGGTGGATTCGGTTGGAAGGTTCTCTGTATTTCTTCTTTACGTATATAAAAGAGGAGAAAGATGAACAGTCTTTCTTTCGTTTCTACCTCCTCCAACCCATAAACAAAGATTCGACAAAGGCAGAAGCTGAAACGGAGAAATGAAAGATCCCAAGTACGCCCAACCTTACCCTGCTCAAGGTTCCTCCTTCCTCAATCCCTTCAACCCTCTTTTCGTTTTCACTTTCTATTTTTCTTCTTACTTTCCTTTCCGGAGTACTTCTCCAAATCAGAAGCTCTGATTCGGGGGTTGGTTACACGGTTGCAGGGTATTACCAAGGGCCGCCGGTGATGCCACCGCCGCAGTACGCCGCTCCACCGCCGGGGAGCCAGCCTGGCTTCCTTGACGCGTGGTAAGTATCAGACTTTCGAATTCATTACCAACTTTTTTTCAAGACCTTCTCTAACTTTGTTTCCCCTGTTTCCGGTGGATGAATCAAATCAATTCCCCTGTTTTGGGTTGACAAAAGTCTGGCCGCTCTTTGCTGCTGCTGTCTCCTCGACGCCTGCTGCGACCCACTCTGCTGCTTCCTCATTTAATCCGTTTCAAAAATGTAAATTAAGTTTCCTCTCAAACCCAGTCCCCGCCATGTGTAATTTGATTTCGCTATGTAGTTCTATCCTCTGTAATTTTTTTTTTTTATAGGAGTTCTATCCTCTGTAATTTGGCGAGGACACTATGAGTGTTCTTCACTTTCTCGTAATATTTTAGAGTTGTGTTTCTTTGCCTAAGGGGTTTCTATTGTACCACTAAACCACTAAACCATGTATATATATAATAGTAGGGAGGTTTTGGGTTTGGTTTATGGGTCGTTTATGTAAGGCCGTTTGTGTGTATATGATGGAGCCAATTCGTTTTGTTTTGAAGAATATGACATGTTATCTGGCTTGGGATAGAGTGAGTAACCACTTAGTTATTGATATGTTAGTAATAAATGGAAATAGTAGATCTACGTGCGGAGCAATCATGCGGTAGGACTGGACATGGAGTGGGGAAATGTATTTTTGTCCTGTTTTTATATTAATTGTTTTTTTATTTTATCCTGCATTTAATGATTACCTTTTAAAAGAAGGGGTGAAAACTCTGTAACTCTCATTTCTTTTTTCTTCTCTCCCAATCTCCTTTTCATATTCTTTCTCTTTCTCTCTTCTTTTTTCTCTTCCAAACTCTTTTTTAGATCTAGATCAGCTCCATTCTATTCTTTTTTTAATTTTTTTCTCCAGCAATTGACGAATAAAAATTGTAGCCTCTTTTGCATTGCATTTCTTCCATCAATTTGTTGGCCTTAATTTTGATCTTTCTCATTTTGTCGGCATTTTGGTGTTCTTGATTGCGGAAGAGGAAATGAGAGGCGACATAAGATTTTTTTTTCTCCATCCTTCTGTTTTTTCTTTTAGATAATGTATATTGATATTATGACTTTATACCATATGATAATGTATGGTATTGTGTGGTAATGAAATATATATTGATATTACCACACTATACCATATAGTATTGTATGGTATTATGTGATATTACCACACTATACCATATGGTATTGTGTGGTAACAAAATATATATTGATATTACCACACTATACCATATGGTATTGGGTGGTAAGAAAATTTACATTGATGTGGCAAAATTTTTCTACCATATGGTCGTATTTAATACCAGTCAATACCATATGGTATAGACTAGTAATAACTGACAAATTTTTTTATGTCTAAAAAATACCAAAGTGGATATCATTTTGAAGAGCACAATTAATCTGATCTAACTGTGCAAAAAAAAATTAAATACCGACTTAGAACGAGTGAGAAATCGTCCGTTAAAGATTAAGGGAAGGAAAATTAAAGATTTTTCGAGGAGAGAGAAGGATGCCCTGATGTGGTCCGGTCAAAAGTTAGCGTTAGCAATAAATAGGGGTAAGTGCAATTTTACCTTACCGTCCTTTCACATTTAATTTAAATAAAAAATAATAACTGATACGTAAGAACAAGAGAAAAGATTACTCATCAGTTACTGACCTAATCTGCTCCTTTGTTGTCTTTTTGTTATTGTCTTGGATTTCCTCTAACTAATATTTAGAATGCTATGAAGTTGCATATGCAAACCTAATTTCACCACATAAAAATGAATTAAGGCAACATATGACAATTACAAAAGGGTACAAAACTAATATTGGTCAGAGGGGAACAAACCTATTAAGGTAATACATCCGACAGAGCAAACAATCATCGAAGTAGAATCTGCAAAATGTCTACAATAGTTGCGCAGCTTGCTTGCGTACATGTTGGGAATTTCTATATATAAACTATTAAAATAGAAGATACACGGTTGAGAATAGGATTTTGCAAATGAAACGTGATTTGTTGCATTGCATTCTGTTTCTGTTTATACAGCTTTACAGGAGAGTTGCTGAGAAAGTAAGGGAGAATATACAGGGAGGTGGAGTAGTGTATCCGAATAAATGGGACTAAGTGGAAAATAATAAATAAAAGAATTCTCATTCTTTTGTTCCAATACGCCCCTGCAAGATGGAGGAGGTATCAACGACTCCAATCTTGGAGCGCAGAAGAGTAAACCGAGGAGCAGGTAGCGGCTTTGTGAGAGTATCGGCTAGTTGATGAGAAGTAGGAATGTAGGAGACTTTGAGCAGGCCATCCTGGACATGTTGACGGACAAAGTGGTAGTCAAGAGCCACATGCTTCATGCGGGAGTGGAATATCGGATTGGAGCTGAAACATGTGGCTCCAAGATTATTAGAAAACAACGTCGGCGACGAAGAGAGCGGTTGATGCAGTTCTTGGAGTAAATTATGTAGCCATTCTAATTCAGCAGTAGCATGAGCTATCGCACGATATTCAGCCTCAGTGCTAGAACGGGCGACAATACGTTGCTTCTGGGAGCGTCAGGAGACTAGGGTAGAGCCTAAGTAAACAAGATAGGCAAAGGTTGAGGTTCGATCGTCCATATTCCCAGCCCAGTCCGAGTCGGCAAATGCAGTGAGGCGTAGAGGCATAGAAGCACGATGAATAGCAAGGCCATAGGAAATGGTACCACTGATGTAGCGGAGCAAGCGCTTGAGGCACTGCCAATGGTGGGAAGTAGGAGCATGCATGTACTGGGACTAGGGCTGCAAACGAGCCGAGTCGAGTCGAGTTTTTGCTTAGCTTGAGCTCGGCTCGTTTATTAATTTTTCAGCTCGAGCTCGGCTCGAACTCGAATTTTGATAATCCAGCTCGAGCTCGAGCTCGGCTTGAATAAAAATAATCTAGCTCGAGCTCGACTCGGTAGAGCTCGATAAATGCTCATTAACATAGCTTGTTAAGCTGAGTACAAGCTCGGCTCAAGATGAGCTCGATTTAAAATCATTTTTGCTGGAAAAATGTATAAACATAAGAATTTAAATGATAGAAAGAACACTAGAAACTAGAAATAACATCTAAATTTCATACACATCTGTATTATAAGACAATGTTCATGTTTAAAAGAGTAATTCATCCTTCCACAAGCTCAAAACAAGGCAGCTCGCGAGCTTAGCTCGACAAGCCACCGAATCAAGCTAGCTCGCGAGCTTATCAAGCTGAGCATGGTCTAGCTCAGGCTTGGCTCGTTAACTAACGAGTTGGCTCGCGAGCCGGCTTGTTAAATAACGAGTCGAGTGTCGAACGAGTTTTTTCCGATTCGAACGCCGAGTTGCTCGCGAGCGGCTTGGCTCATTTGCAGCCCTAACTGGGACAACTTGTTGACGGAGTAGGAAATGTCAGGACGGGTGTACACAAGATAATACAGAGCACCCAAAGCCTGGCGATAACGGGTATCTTCCATAGGAGAGGATCCATCACTGAGGGAAAGAGCAACGGAGGCGGGTAGAGGAGTAGAGACCGAGGCGGCATCAAGCATGTGAAAGCGAGTGAGTATATCTATCATATATCGGTGCTGGGAGAGAACATAACCGGTAGCCGTAGGAATGACCTCGATGCCCAAGAAATAATTAATGTCACCAAGTTCTTTAAGAGAGAACTTGGTTGCCATGGCCAGCTGGAAGGCAGAAAGAGCGGCATCATCATTACCAGTGAGCAGAAGATCATCAACATAGACAAGAAAATACATGAGAACCCCAGCACGATGGTAGACAAAGAGTGACGCATCAGACTGAGACTTCTGAAAGCCGAAGTCGAGCATAAAGGAGCTGAGAGCAGTGCACCAAGCACGAGGAGCCTGTCGTAGATCGTAAATGGCATGACGGAGACGACATACATGAGTAGGGTGAGCAGGATTGACGAAGCCGGGTGGCTGAGCCATGTAGACTTCATCAGCCAGGGGTCCTTGCAGAAAAGCATTGTTTACATCGAATTGCTTGATCAGCCAATTATGAGAGAGAGCAATGGTGAAGACTGTGCGGACCGTCACTGGTTTGATCACCGGACTAAAGGTGTCCTGGAAATCCACTCCACTCCTTTGATGAAAACCCTTGGCCACAAGAGGACATTTGAAGAGATTGATAGAGCCATCGGAGAGATGCTTGCTACGATAGACCCATTTGTTGCCAAGGACATTAAAGTGCGGCTGTCGAGGAACAAGATCCCATGTGTGATTTTGAAGAAGAGCAGAATGCTCCTTATGGAGAGCTGAGTTCCATTTTGGATAGCGCATGGCATCATGGACCGAGCGTGGTTGGAGAGGAGGTGTACAGGTGGTGAAGTTGGCCGAAAATAGTCTCTTGGGCCTGTAAATTCCGTCTTGGGCTCGGGTGGTCATGTGATGAGTACGTTGTAGTGGTGGAGGAGCAGCCGGCCGTGAGATACAAGGAACGGGAGAGGATATCTCAAGCCCGTCCAGCTGGGAAGGGCCAGCAGAGGAAGAGGGTCCGGTGGAGGCGGGCGACCCACTGGAAAAAGGCGGCTCATGGGAGGCAGAGGGACCAGCAGGTGTGGACGGGTCAGGGGAGGCAGGAGGCCCAGGAAGAGCAGTCGCAGGCCCGGGAGTGGTGGGCGGGCCAGGAGGGCGCGGATGCTTTTTTGGAGAAGCCTCGGGCGGGGGTCCATCTACTGCAGGGGGAATGTCGTCGTGGGAAGCTAAGCTGGGCAGAGGCCCAGTGAGTGGAAGCCGTGTGATGTGAAGGCCTGTATCACTGATCCAAGTAGCCACGGAAGGAGTATCTGCAGTGGAGTGAGAAGATATCCCAGGAAAATTGGTTTCAATAAATTGGACATGGCGAGACAAGAATATACGGTGAGTTGCAGGATCAAAGCACCGATACACACTGCGTTGAGGACAGTAGCCGATAAATAAGCACGGGCGAGAGCGCAGATCAAGTTTATGAGTGGAGTAAGGTCGCAACCAAGGATAGCACAAGCAACCAAATACACGAAGTTTATGATAGTTAGGAACAAGGTTGAAGAGAGTAGTATATGGAATTTGACCACGCAAAACGGAGGATGGAAGACGGTTAATCAAATAGGTAGCAGTGGAAAAAGTAAAAGACCAAAATGTGGTAGGCAAGTGAGCATGATGCAGGAGAGTGATACCCGTTTCGACAAGATGGCGGTGTTTACGTTCGGCAAGGCCATTATGCTCCGTCGTGGGGAGGAGTAAGGTGTAAGGAGGTGACTGATCCCATTAGCAACCAATGTGGAGCACAATTTTTGAAATTCACCACCACCATCAGAGTAAAGGCGATGAATGGTGGTGGAAAAGTAATTTTCAACCATCGTGCGAAAAGCAGTAAACACATGCAGAACATCAGACTTCTTTTTGAGAGGATAATACCACGTATAACGGAAAAATGATCAACGATAATTAAGTAATAACGAAAACCATCAATGGAGGTGACCGGAGCGGCCCTCCAAACATCCGTATACAGTAAATCAAATGGTCTACTGCTAGACAGGGAGGACAAAGCAAATGGAAGTTTGTGACTTTTATTGGAAAGACAAGAGTTGCAATGACTACTGACGGAGGATGATGACACTGGTAAAGAGTGAGAGCGGAGGAGACTAGTGAGGAAATGGGTGGAGGGATGACCGAGGCGGGCGTGCCAGGAGGCGGAGGAAGTGCGCGTGGTGACCAAGGCAAGACGAATAGTTTCCACATCACTAGGCAGCTCATAAACATCCCTGTTATTTACCCCTTTCAGTAGAGGCGCCCCCGTGCGAAGATCCTTCACAACAAAACAATCAGCAAAAAATTCCACCGAAATGGGATTAGTACGACAGAGCTTGGCAACAGAAATAAGTTGATGCTTAATGGCAGGGGCACATAAGACATCTTGTAATTGAAAAGAAGACGAGGAACTCGGGAGAGTAGTAGACCCAATGTGGGTTATTTGCAAACCTGAGCCATCGCCAACGAGAATTTCGTCTGGACCGGTATAATCCGAATAAAGAGATAAATTCCCCAAATCCGAAGTGACATGATGTGAAGCTGCAGAATCAAGCAACTAGGGGGTGGCAGAGGAAGCATGAGCAACATTAGTGTTATGAGCTTGAGATTGACGAGCTTGATAAGCTTGACGAGCCTGGGGAAACAGCTTGAAACACTGACGGACGGAGTGTCCGGGGCGGTCACAATATTTACATATAGTAGGCTGTCGGCGCTGAGTTGGGGAAGCAGCAGAATAAGGCCCAGCAGAGTAGTGATCAAGGGAAGATGGGCCTGAGGCCCGCTGAACATTATCAACCCGCTGGGAGGCCCGCGGAGAGGAGTACCCACGCTGAGGGGAGGTTGGCCGCAGTGAGAGCGAGGGGAAAATTGGCCGCCGCTGCCGCTGCTATGGCGCTGGTGCTGAGAATAAAATGCCGTCGGGACAGATTGCTTCACCTGAGACTTAAGATCCGCCTCGTACTGAACAAGTGAGTCGACCAAATCCTCCAAACAGAGACCAGGTCCGCGAGCTCGAATTGCGGCAGCAAAGGCATTGAATTCCTCACCCAAGCCACGAAGACAGTAGACAATGAGATCAAGGTCAGAGACGGGTGCGCCGATGAGGGCGAGTTCAGCGGCGGTGCCCTTAAGGTCGTTGACGAAGGACAACAAATCCTGGTCGCCCTTGGAAGTTTTAGCCAGTTTGCCCAGCAGATGAATAACACGTGACTGGGCGTTACTAGCGTAGAGCTTGTCGAGAGTCAGCCAGGCCGCACGAGACGTGGAGGCAGCCGAAACAAAAGAATAAATCGATTCAGAGATTTAGCAGCGCAAGGAATGGAGAATTAACTTATCCTGATGGAACCAGTATTTATACGCCGGATTAGGAGAGGTAATGGAGTCTGCAGTGGTCGTGGGTGGAGGCGCAACGATGGTGCCGTCGATGAAGCCAAATAAATCAAGACCCATGAGCAAGGTCTCGAGCTGTGAGCGCCACGCGGCGAAATTGGGCTGAGTGAGCTTCAACGGGAGCTGAGCAGCAGGATTGAATGTGATGATAGTGGGGATTTCAGCCGAAGTGGCGGTGTTGTGAACTGCTGATCCGCCGGACATGATGGGTGAAAACAGAGGGTGTAGTAGAAGAGGATAGGAAGAAGAAAAAAAATAGATGGAGCAGGTCGAAGATCTGGATCAAGACTAGCTGATTGTTGCTAGCTCTATTACCGTATTAGAATAGAAGATACACAGTTGAGAATAGGATTTTGCAAATGAAACGTGATTTGTTGCATTGCATTCTGTTTCTGTTTATACAGCTTTATAGGAGAGTTGTTGAGAAAGTAAGGGAGAATATACAGGGAGGTGGAGTAGTGTATCCGAATAAATGGGACTAAGTGGAAAATAATAAATAAAAGAATTATTATTCTTTTGTTCCAATATAAACTTGAGTATCAGCTATTCAATTTTCAACAAGAACAGGACAAAATTCATCAGATTTGAGCAATGTCAAATTCCATAGTTCAATAACTACTCTGAACTCAGTGGTCCCATCACCCATGGCTAACCGCATGACTGATATCTTCCACTAAGAGAATTAAGGTCAATTTCAGAAACTCCGTATGAAGTCTCGTAATTGGCTACAATAAGTACATCCTGAAATTGGCTACAATAACCTTGTCTTCCAATGTAATCAAGAATCGCTTACTCTAACTTCATCTATGGACATTGAAAATTTGGTCAAACAGTTCTTCCAAATCAACTTGAGATTTTCGAGTGGGGAATTCCTAAAAGCCTGGTCATGAGCAGTAAAGAAGTAGCACACCTTGCCATCCATGAACCACGTTACCATAAGGGTGAAAGCTTTTGGTTATTGTAAAGGTTGAGATTAGTAAGCATTTTAACAATGTCCACAAGGACTTCATGCTCATTTGCACTTTCAACATGAGTCTCACATCATACCTGAAACTAGGGGGTGTTCAAACAGTGTGGTTACGGTGGTAACCATTTTAACCGGTAGTATTTGGATAATTGGTTTGGTTTGGTTAAATTTTTTAGCTTGTTTGGTTTAGGTGGTTTGGTTTCAGACACTACTAACCAATTAAACTAAATTAACCAATTAGGTGATTAACCATTATTTAATATATATTATATACACATACTTAAAACTTTGCATAACCACTAAAGAGTCAAATGCAAGATAATTGTACTTGTTAAATGTATTTCTGTTAAAAGTTAAATATAATTATGTGTTGATAGTCATGTATTGATGCACTAACCGGAAATTTTTCTCATTTAATGATAATATGATGTTATTTTGGTTAACCAATTAACCAAACCGATTAAACTTTAGTTTGGTTAATTTGGTTGTTGTATTAGTTTGGATGGTTTGGTTATGATATTGTATTCCATGGTTAATGAAATTTAGACTTATTTGATTTGGTAATTACCATGGTAACCATTTAAACACCCCTACCTAAAACTATATGATTGTCTTTCAGTGGGAAAACTCACGTTTAATTGAATTAATGTGCTTTGACATTTTAGGACATCAACTACTAAGACAAGATTTAAGCCTCTTAGAACACAGTTCAAATATGGATGTTTAATTGATGGTTTTTTCGGAACAGAACTAAACTAAATTATTTCTACTACTATGGAGGTACAATGAGAGTTTCACACTACGTCTATGGCTACTTATAGAGAAAAGGATATAAATTTGACTTAGGCGTCAGTTATTTGGTTTTAGGAACTCTTATCTATGTCGACCTCCCCTCTCATTTATAGGCATGGGGGTAACTGTCTAGAAAACCATTTGTTGGGTAACCCTCCAAAAATAATTTCTCCCATCTTCCTTGAACATGAGATGAGTAGCACTTGCTCCCTCAACCGCTGGTTTGTGATATCAGCTTCACAATTTATAAGCTCGAATGTCGATTATACTAAGTACTCTAACATAGGACAAGTACATCCTAAGTTGGCGAAGCAGTAATGTGGTAACCCTCGCGGTATTCCAGGGTCATCGAATATATTGCTACTATCGTGCTTAATTACTGCTTAATATAACAGTTGAATTGGGAGGTATTTCGAAACTACTACCACTACTAAGTTGAAATTGACTTGTTCGAGAGAGAGATACTTGGGGTTATTTCCCCTTAACTATAAGATCAGGTCGGGTATAGGCATAAACGAAACACTCTCTTCCATCATGATGTCTCCTAGAGCACTCATAGTGGACTTCTCGACTCAATGGTCATGCAACTGACAAATCTTTAGGGCTGTAAGATTGGATTCATACGAGGGTACACCCAAGGGCAAACATGACTTCAACACAAAGTGTCACACTATTAAAATCATGCCTCACTTGATGTGGATTCTAGGCATAATCTAGGGGGTAGTCACCACAACCTAGGTTAACAACATGCACTAGTTACCTCTATCAAAGCAAGATAATGACATTGATAGAAACCCGAATTTCGAGCTTCTATTGTTCTCTAGGGATTAGGGAAATGGAGCGATCACCAAGGAGATGATCTACTCGATTGATAGGAGATTAAAGGAAAGGAAGAAGTTTGAGAAATGAGGATAGGGGGAAGAACAGAGGTTCCGGTAGAAACAAGGTGGGAAGAGGGGTGATTTTCGGCATGGTAAAGAGATAAGAGAGGATTAGGGAAACTGAATTAGGTTTACTTACCGGGTAATTCTCACTTATAATAATATTTATATAATCCAAAAATCCCTCAATGCTACCCCAAATTATTACTCTTTCTCAAATGACCCTTAAAATAACTCTGACTAGTCATAAGAGACATAAACTGACAAAATGGTCCATATAATGAAATAGTAGAAATGAAGGTTTCTATCATACCCGCCTTCTTCAGAACAACCTTGTCCTCAAGGTTTAACTTCCACCTTTGGATCGCCTCTTCTTGCCGCTACTTCATCCTCCGACTCGTCCTCCTAGCGGCCGACCAGCATCATCAATTCTAGTTTTGCACAATGGTGACCGATCGCGAACCTCTCATTGGAGTTAAAACACTTGACTTCACGCCTCTTCTGCTCGATTTTCGCCGAAGATAGCCGAACAAAGCCCTTCGGTGGTGCTCTTGGTCCGGGGTGATCCACTGATACGGTGGCGGTCGTCGTTGTTCCTCTACCTGAACTCACCATGGCCGAAGCCCCTCCTCATCCATTGACCGCCATGATGTTGCTTCCTCCTCCGCTAGGCTTTTGGAAGCGGCCTATGGTGCTTCTTCAGCTAGCGATCTCCTCCTCCTTGTAACCTGCAAGACGAAAAGAAAATCTCAAGGATTCCAGCTCAAAGACCCGGCCTGCGGTAGCGATCTTTGGCCTTAGTCCGGCCATACATAGACCCATCAGTGTTTTCTCATGCACCCCTTTGCATTGGTTGCCCAACTTGAGGAATTTCGCCCTATACTCGGCCACTGACCCTATTTGTCTCAACTTGACCAGCTGCTCCGGTGCCCACCCTTCCGACTTCTCGAATTGGTACCAAAACTCCTCTTGTAACCTTGGCTAGGTAATTAGTGTCCCTGTGGCAGTGCATGACCTCTCCAACCACTCCCACCAATGCAAAGCATCTCCCTCAAAATAGAAGGATGTCTAGTGCGCCTTACGCTCCTCCTTTGTGGGATGGTTCTTGAACCACCTATCAGCTGCATACAACTACAAGCCTGCGTCCTCTTGACCATTGAATCTTGGGAACTCAATGGTTAGAGCCCTAAGTGTGCTAACTAGCAAAAAAGATTGCAACCCCCAACCTAACAGCAGTTAGAGGAAGGAAGAGTTCCATTAGGACCTTCATGAACCCAAGCATCACCAACCTTCATCACAACTCCATTACAAACCTTGAACACCCAAGTAAAAAGTAATTGCCGTTGGTTGTCATTTCCCTTGTCAAATGATGTTGATTTTGTCCAAGACATGCTATAACTCGCATACAACACAACAACCACATGGTCACCTAACTCGCATTACAAACCAAATGATGTTGATTTCCCTTGTCACCAAATTCTCTATATCTTGCATTGAAACTACTAGAACTCTAACTCGAACAATCACATACAACACAACAACCACATGGTCACCTATCTCCTTGATTGTAAGATCCTTGTAAGATTCTTTGATTTTGGGACAAGCAGACCATCTAGTAAACTTCACTCGTGGCCACCAGTACCCATTATCTTCCCAACAAACACAATCCAAGTCATAAGGAAACGAACCCTTACAGTAATCCATAAAACCTAAGTCAGATATAATAAAAACTACTGCTACAAGAACAAAATCAAGGTCTTTATCTACCATATTGAGTATGAAGCTCTATCCTCCCATACTTTGTGTTGGTTAATTGCAACACATTAATCTAGGCCATAAATGCTATTGGTTCCCTCAACCCAATGAGACTCCACCCATGGGATGTCTGTGGGTAACATGCCACCCAAATTCCTTTGCAGATATCCAATAGAAGCTAGAGTAGAAGGCAATATAAGTAATGGTACGTGACATAAAGCTAAGTGCACTGGAAGATGAACTTATCCATTAAAACCCAGACTACTAGAAGAAGCATCATGTTAACAAGTCCTTGTTATTTCTCTTGCATCCCATGCGTACCCAATAATTTCCTCACCGGTGGCACCCAGGTCTAAATCATCATGATAATTATTGAATTCATCATGTTATCTGCAATCTCATGGTTCTGCTAGATTTGACCAGCGGTAGGAAAAGGAACTGGTGAAGAATTTCAAGAAGACTCTCATATTCCTGCTTGAACTTGCAGTGAAAGGCTACTATACTAGAAGTAATAGAATCATGTTCTCTCTTGCTCTTGTCTGTACTCTCCTCATCTACATCTGCTTCGATACTTAAGCTTCCAGCGAGGTAGAAATCTTCTTCATTGAGATCCAAAGCCCATCATGCTCACTACTAGTCTCTTCAAGATCCTTGACACTGGATGCAACAACAATTAGGTTGGCTTTGATGTGCTCCAACCCGCTATCACTGACGATCTTCTCGCTAGATGGTACTAATTCCCTTTGCAACAAACTCAGTATTCTTTGCTGAGACTATAACAAGATCAGCTAATACATGACTATCTACACTCCCCAATTTTTGACTCTTGACTCTGAGTCTCTGCATCTGAACCACTTCCTAAATCCTCCATCTGACCCACCCTAATTTTTTTTAAAAGGAACGGAAGAACAATCAGAACTAACCAAAGAAGAAGAATAATGGGACGTCGATGAACCTAGGAAACCATCAACAGTGTACCATCCAAAACGTTTGCATACAGCATCAGCAAACTCACTCCAAACCCAAATTGCATGAAAAAAGTCCACCCCCAAACCATAATTTGCCCTTCGCCCAAAATTAACGGTAGCAACCCTAACCTTGTCATGTTATGGAGTATCATATTTCTTAAACAATCACTCACACTTCTTAATCTAGCTCCTAGGATTCTGACCAGAGATGGAGGGAAATTTGGTTTAGAAAATGGAGTTGGTACATTATATGACACTGGGGGTGGAACTCCCCCGCTCTCTGCCTTTGAAGGAGGCGATGGAGTGTTGAAGGTGCCACAATCACCATGGTTGTTGAATAAGGAGCTGATTTGTCAGTTCTTGATTGTTTGTGTGGCAGAGAGAAAACACAGTGATTCTTCTCACAAGCTGCCGACGGTGGGGAAAGTTGATATTGAGGAGAACTCAACGACTTTACTTGTACAGTTCGTCAAACAGTTGGTGGTCGATTTTCTTGAATTAGAAGTGGAGTACTCCGGTCACCGCCTAACGCCGCCAACAATGGGGCAACAATTTGTCGACGATACTACAACCATGGGTGTTAGGTGTTGGAAGAGTCTTTAGATACACCTGACCAATGCAGATTTGGTAGACATAAGTCCGAGAAGTAGGCAATTCCCATTGTTTACCATCGAAGTTGTTGAACGATATCATGGATCACAAAAACTTCAGCTCCAAAGTCGCTAGACAAGCTCGAAGCTTCGAGTCTGTAGCCGGATTATCAATGACGGCTAACCGATCTTCTATCATCCGCATTGGTGGAACTATGGCTCCCGGAGAAGGACTCTGATGCCACTTGTATAGATTAAGATCTGAGGAGGGATCGATTCCGACAATTATAGTTGAAATTTGTTGAACTGAGAAGAGAATTGGAGTATAAGAAGAGAAAGAAAAGGATTAAGGAAGAATGAGGCAAAAAGGAGAAGATGGGAAAGAACAGAGAAGGGAGGAAGAAAATCAGGGCAAGAGATTTTTTTGTTTTTTATATTCGATAACTCTCTTTATACAATACAAATTCTTATATAGAAAAATCCAATTACAAATTGACCCCACAAATCCACAACCACAACTAAACATTTTAGACAAACTCATCCTAATCGTTACAGGAAACCAAGTGTTCCATTAATATTAATTATTATGCGTACTTGTTATTATGTGTACTTGTACTCTATTCATATAGTACAAATTCTTATATAGAACAACCCAATTACAAAGTGACCCCACAAGTCCACAACTAAACATTTTAGACAAACTCATCCTAATCGTTCCAGGAAACCAAGTGTTCCATTAATATTAATTATTATGTGTACTTGTTATTATGGTTAGTAACATTTAACTTCTATTAGGAGTACTAGGATCAATACCCACGGCTGCGCCGCGTGAACTAGAGTTATACAAAATAACCATTTAGGGGAAAGTTATCTAAAAACAAATTTGCAGCAACATAACTTCGAGTTTTACATCTCCAAGTTTAACCTTAGGTTTCTTCACCTATTCTTTCTTTGGTTGTCCTTCCATAAGCAATCTTTACCTTCCAGCTAACCCCCCTAGCATGAATAATTGAATCAACTCGTAATGTTTCCTCTCCATCTAAGTTTACCACCACCAATTTTGTCCCCCTGCTAGTGTTGCTGACTTGCTACTCCTTCTATTCGTTGTCAAATGTGAAAGCGTCATACGATGAGGCTGTAAGCGAGACTGTTGCCTATGCAAGGAAGAATTTCACATCAGCCCAACTTGAATTGTAGAGGAATAAACTAATGAATATCCTATTCCGGACATCCATATTTTTCAGGTTACAAAACATTACCAAACACTAAAACTTGAAATTGTCTCTGAACTTATGTCATAACTACACATCAGTTTCAATGGGGGAAATATATGAAATCATTTTTATATGAATGAGCAAAACATATCTATACCTCTTTTTTTTTCTTATAATGTTGATGTGCCCTCTCATGAACATGGTATCAATCTCATGACCACACTTACTACTACTATTCGGTTGATCTATCAACTCATATCAATCTATACAAAGTTTTCTCTTCATAAAAGCTCATTCCTATGATGCACATCAGCTTTATCTCCTCCTATTATTTTCTTCATTTACTCATGATCAACATTTGTCTTTTCCATATAAATCCACTGCATTCTATTTATCCTCCATCCTTCTTGAGATCCTTGCATGTTGTTAAAATGATTACTAACTCTTGGGTGGAAACGTGGTGTTAGGTTGTGCATTTGAAAGGATGTGAGTTGTGTGCATTACTGAATGTGTGTATATATACACATTTGACACCTTTAGAATGAAGGTTTAGGGAATCAAAGAAAAGGGATGGGGAATTAGAGGAATTGATTAAGAATGCAAGTTTAACCTAACAGCCTTGCTGATAAGAATTCTCGTATGAAACTAAGTATATATATATATGTATATATGTATATATATATATATATTGATTAAGAATGCAAGTTTAACCTAACAGCCTTGCTGATAAGAATTCTCGTATGAAACTAAGTATATATATATATGTATATATGTATATATATATATATGTATATATATATGTGTATATATATATATATGATTAAGAGTGATCATAAGTGGGGTTTTATTAGCTGCACATTGTGTAATACTAATTTAAAATATTTGATAGATTACATTATATTGAACGAGTTTATATGGTTTTATAAAGGAAGAGAGCATACCGTAGAATCGTCAAGGAAAAAAGGAAATAACCGAGTAATTATACGGTGAGTAAATTCTAACCTAATGTTTATCTTAATATGATTATGGTATTCGGGTCATGAAGCGGCCCGAGTACAACGTGTATGATGGTCTGGTAAGCTTTAAACCAATTGCGATTGAATATCTATATGTGGTTTGATGAAATGATTGAATTATCCTATGATTGGATGAGGTTACCGTAGCATGGTAATTGTATGATAATGTGATGATAGGATGAAATGATTGTATGCTGATATGACTAGAAGGTCATAATACATGTTATGTGTGTGCTAAACGGTATTATGTGACGAGTATATGAAACGTGAAATGGTATTCAAGGCAATCAACAGAAAAGAATGGCAAGAAAGGTTGCCTGTTGTGAATGGTACGATATGAGATAGAATATATGGCATGTGAGGCATACAAGTGAATGTGATATGAATTGACCATTGCGGCACACAAGTGATATGTTGATTTGTGACTAACTATAAGAATTGCTTGGACACCTAAAGCACACGTAATGACGCCTGGTCATGCATTCATTATAAGTGAAAAGAGGCGTCACAAATTTTAAAGAGATAAAAGAGGTATACGAGAACTCCTTTTAAGGGGTAATGCCAGGCCTGGCTACAAGTTTATGAGATATGGCACCCTGTGCCCCACGAGTTTACGAGATATGGCACTCTATGCCCACGAGTACACGAGATCTGGCACTTTGTGCCTACGAGTTACGAGTTAATGAGATCCCGGGTAGTGCATGACTTGGCAAATTAAAGAATAAAAGCTACTGAATCCAGCTAACTAAACGTATGTTTGTGATTGGTTGTTCATATATTGTTGATTTTGGATGCAACATGACTATTTGAATGTCAATTTTAGTATTGGTCATATTTGTGTGATATGTGATTGAGATGGCAATCTTAGTATTTGCCATATTTGATATATAAAATGTGAACCCTTAATTACATGAAATATGAGATATGTGAAGGTCGATGTGTTATATGTGGTATCAAGTGATATGAGGTATTTTGTGATCATTTCCTGTGACGAGTGGTACAATGAATTATCAGGAAACTATTTTATAAGCAGTGATGATACGTTGATTTAATTATGTTATTGCAATGTTTATGGGTTCAATGTTATGTGTCTATAATACATCCTAGGATGCAGTATTGTTAGAAGTTCAAAGATATGATGAAAAATTAGTATGATGTAGAAGAATAAATATGAACTATTTGCAACACCAGGTAGGGTAAAGTAGAGGTGAAATCTTAAACGGATCATGTATGACATATAAGTAAAAGCTCGAATGAATGACCAATAATGTACATATGAAAGATCGAATGGACAAGGGAAGAAATTATGTATAAATCTACATAGGTGAGACGTAAAATTTATTACATGATTGAATATACATCGAGTATAATGGACGAAAGACACTCTGAGTCACAACATAGCCTGATATTATTTTCGTATTAATATTTATATTAGGTTATTATTTACTCATTGAGTTACGTCTCACCCCGCAATATTTTTCCCAGATGACTAGCTAAAATGGTTGAAGTCCATGGGACGAAGCAAGTTAGAGTTTGATATTGATGAGGTGAGCGGAAGGCTGAACTCTCCACAATGTTTTCTATGGGAAATTTGAAGATGGGGTTTTCCCAAAAATAAAAATGATAAACCAAGAGTTGGAGGATTTTGGTAAATAGTTGACGATGTGCATACATTTTATAGGTTTTAAATGGAGAAAAGCGTTTGGGTGTTACACCCGGTCGGTAACTCATTTCTGAAAATGATGTTGTTGCGGCTCCTTACCCAGACTACAAGGATATTACATCAGTATTTTAGGTAGAAGGCATGGCTCTTCGATATTAGTTTTGTAGCAGACAGCAGGATTTGAACAACCAATTTGAGACATTGATCAATCCTGCAATAAAATATTTACTATGAAGAGGGTTTCATGAGCAATTTTAAGAATAGGCAGTGCAATAGTTCAATATTCATTAAGCCGACTTGAATCAAAGCAATAAAAATGAATATAATACATTGTAACTACAACAGGCAGGATAGGGAATGTCGAGAGGTGAAAGTCTCAAAAAAATCATTCCAGAGTTCATTGAGCATCTTCTTTTCCTTTTCCTTGTTCTTTTTTCAGCTTCACTTGTCGCTTCTTCTTCCACCAGCAAGATAAAGGGAGATAGAGAATGAGTCGGGGAATTAATTATAGTGCACGAGAAGTACTACACCATGGCACCCTTGTCGAGAAGCCCCCTCCTTCTCGTCGCTTTCATTCTAGTTGTACTCCTCCTATTCCAAATCGATCTTGTCTACCTCCGCTTTTGGTTTCGTATTTGTTTTCTAGCTTTCCGGGCCTTAACAGGCTGGTGAAAGAATCCAGTGTTACTGTCACCAACTGTTAGCCAGTTGATTCTTGATTTTTGCTTGTAAAAGCTCTCATCTGCTCTCATCTGGTTTGTATATATATAACCAAACCCCCCACGTACCTGCTCAATACTCTGCACCATTCCACTCAATTTTTTGCAAAAATCTCTTTCTTTGCCTTCTTCCAGCAACTACGGTTACAGAAACTCAAATTTTTTGGTATGATATAATTATGTATTGTTTAGATATTGATGTTTTAATAAGAGTAAATACAATTTAATAGCCAAACCTTTCAATCTAAACAAAATAATAGCCAAACATTTCGAAAAATAAAATAATAGCCAAACCGTTAACTTTTCATTCAATTGACTGTCAGTTGACTCTGACGAGGCAATTTAATTGCTGAGCTGGACAAATCTTGATGATGTGGCAAAAAGACCATTGTTTGACTGTACTTTTTTATATTTTTCTTAATTTTTAAAACAAACAGAAAATCCCATCCCCATATCCACTCTCAAAGAGACCGAGAAAATGGTGATGGGAACTCCAAAAGCAGCAGGGTGATGATGATTTCTTCTCCCTTCTTCTTCCTTTCTCTCCTCCTTTCCTTCTTCACCAAGCAGTTGGGCGACGGTAATGGTGGCCGGCGGCGGGTTGAAAAGAAGGGTGAATGATTGCCGGCGGTGAGGTTAGATTAAAGTTTAGGAATTGCAAGGAAAAGAAGGAGAGTGCAATTGACAGTTTTAGAGAGGCCATCACCGATTTTCACAACCCACGTCTCCGATTCCAAGTGATTTTTCCGGTCAGATCTGCTTCGACTGGTTCCCTGTTTCTTGTTGGGGATTTATCACGTATTTGCAAGTCGTTGCTGCAGTCAAGGTTTGGACAACAACATATCGCACCTTCCAGCTCTCCACTGAACCACACACATCATCTAACCGTTTCCACCTCTTCTTCGCCAATCAGGGACGGCGGCAGGGCTTGTGGCGGTGTGTCAGCTTCTCGGCGGAGGAGATCCCAATAATCTTCTCCTTCGTTCAGCCACCGATTCTGGAGGAGGGAGGAGAAGTAAAAGAAGAAGTCAAGAATCAGGGTGAAAAGAAAATAGATCGGGAGATTGAATCGATCGAGAATGAGATTCGTCGATTGCCAATAAGAGATTGAGAACGATATTTGACGATTGTCAGTTTGGGGAATGTGAATCTAAGAGATGTCCCCTGTTTCTTCCACCTCAAATTGCCGGAAAACTCACCCAGAACCAAAGAAACTCAAAGGAGAAGAAGTGGAGGTGCTGGTCGGAGTTGCGAGGAGGCGTAGACGAGCAACGGCGGCAGGGCGGGGCCTGTAAGAGATGTCGCTCGCAGGAGAGGAGGCAGAGTCATCTGGCGGCGTCTTTGGGATGGCGGTGATGGTGGCAATAAGGTGATTTCTGTTCCGATTCAGGTCCCGAAGTGGCGGGTTTGTGAGCGGTGCAACGAGTCAGTGGAGAATGATTTGTTGGCCACTTATCATAAATTGTAACAAACCTATTCACTTTGTACAAAATGGTCACAAACCTTTAATTTTGCACGTTTTAGTAACATAAGTTTTGACTAATAACAAAAAAGTAATTCCATCTATCTCCATCCAAAAATCTGTTAGTTTATTCCAGTCAGCATGCCATGTCATCAACAAATAATAATAAAAAATCAATAAACCAAACCAATAATATCCGACCAAACCAAACTCATTTCCACCCGAAGAGCAGGGTCATCGGAAGAGGCTGTGGAGGAGGAGTCGGGAGCGGCGAAGGTCATCGGAAGTTTCGTGAAGGCAGAATTGGTGTCTGGTTGTGGTGTGCGCGACTGCGCGATAGGAAGTGGCGGCTGTGGTAAAGATAAAGCGAGGAGGGATTTCCCTTTTGGGAGCTGAAACCGCCATCGCTTCTCGATCTTCGATCCGGAAGTGAAGCACGCCGAGGCTCTCTAGTTCTCCCACACCAAAGGATCTATCTTTGATCTTCGAAATAGCATCTCTTTGCAATGCCCTTTTGCCATTCAATTAGATCAAGATATCAGAAGTTCGTTTGAATCATAGAACGAAGAGATAGAGGGAAAAAGAAATAGAAAGAGGCGGGGGAGAGAAGTAAGAAGAAGAAGACGAGAGAATGGGACATCAATTGGAATGGGGAATAGAGAGTGGGACATCAATCACTGGCGGCACGGTGGGTGAGGGG